CAAAGTCGGAGAGAAAGAGGCTACAAGTTGTTACTACTCCACACAAGTCAAAAAAAGTAAATCGATCGATTTATTTTGCACTCATTGTTGTTAGTGGAACCGCTGAAATTACACAGATTTATCTAGGCTAAGGAAGTAAAACTTGCGGATAAATTGTATAACCTCAGAGACATACAACGTTCGGTACCAATGAATTGGTCAAAAAGCCGTGTGCAAGGTAATGAAATTCTGTTATGTCATTTCCTTCTGATAATTGAGTTTTTCTTAAGAATCAATATTTTAATTGAAATTTTAGAGTATTTCATATGGTCAAAACAAGTGACAGACGGTATTTGCACTTAATGATACTTTAATTCGAATGAAAAAAAAATTTTTATTATTTTTTAAAGAACTATTTTTCATGCAACAGGTGCAAAAGGAATTAATACGTATTTGGAAAATTTATTAGAAGAACTGTATCAGAATGGTACATTTGAATTGGATGGTGAAACTTACAAGTGCCACCCTTAAGGATTTACTACTACTTTTTAGTTGAAAATATCAGAAATTTCCGAGCAATTAGAATTGTAAAATACCTAACAAACTATTTATTAGTTATTGTTATTAATTTCAATTCAGTTAGTTTAGAACTTTAAATTTAAAAAATAAAATTAATAGTAATATAAAAATATTTATATTAAATAATTTTATATAACTAACCATTGTAAGTTCGAAGCTAATAACGTCATATGTTAAAATAAATCACGCGTGCGGACAGATAAGATGTGCCTGGTTTGGTGATCCTATGCTAACGTTTCGGACAATAATTAAAAAAATATTAATATAATAATTTAATAAATAAAAGATTTTTTTTTTTATTAAAATTTTGTAAAATATAAAAATTATTAATGTAATAATTATAATAAATAAAAAACAAAATAATTTATTTAATTTATTTTAATTTTGATAATGGTTAGTTAAATTTTATTTTTTTAAAAAAATTTATTTATTTATATTATTATCTATTTTATGTAAATAAGATTTAGTTAATATATCCATATCTGTCCTAATAAGATGATGACTCATTTGGTTACTATGAAAGTTTTAAAATGTGTGTAAACTATCTTGTGACTTGCGCAGTATGATTCGATTTATAAATACGTATTGGTCTCAAAGAAGACTGTTTTAAAATTGATGGATAATTTAAAACAATGCAAAGTAGAGTCGTATCGCGGAAGTAACATACATCCATTTCATTCGGGTTCGAGGGAATTTATGGTCCACGAGGGAAAAGCAGATATAACTGTAGTATCAGAAACACCTATCACCGTACCCGTTTCGCCACCATTCAGAGAATTGCAAAACGAATTAGTAAAAAAAATAAAAAAAAGTATTGGAGCAGAACGTAGGTCACAATCAATGAATAAGGATAATGAATCAGAAATGACCAACGTATCTTGGAAACCTTTGTTACCACGACCTCCGGCGCCTTATATCCCTTCAAGCAGATTATTACCAATGACACCACCTGCGAATTCTTTTACACCGGAAACTCCCGGAAGTCCACCAGACTCTGGCACACCTATGTCAGTATCTATGGTTCAGTCCGACTTAATGCCAATGCTGTTGGAAGCAGCGGCTGAGGCAGCACTTCGTGATAAACGTCAAGAACGCATGGTTAAAAATC